CAAACACGTGACTGCCTCGTCACTGTCTGAATGTACAGCCCCCTAGGTCTTAAAGGCATATGTCTCCAATGCTGGCTGTATCCCTGAACACAGAGATCTATGGGATTAAAGGCGTGTGCCAGCCACCACCGCCACACTCTGTCTATGGCTCTAATAGCTCTGACCCCCGGGTAACTTTATTTATTAACATACAATCAAAATCACATTTCAGTACAATTAGAATACCACCACATTACACAATCTCAGTCCTTGGTGCACAGCTTTTCATAGTCCACACACTAAAACAGGAGAGGGCTATGTCAAAGAAGGCATGACTGAGCTGCCAGGAACTAACCATTACAAACAACACCATTTTTCTTGAGAGAACAACTGACAGATGATGGTTACTTCATCTTGGGTATTTATAGCAGACATTTCCTTGAAAATGAACAAAGAACCTGTCCCATAAAGGAAAAGCTAACAGTATTTATTGCTAAATTACACACTTCAGACTTTGGATTCTGCAAAACTTGCTCCTACCGCTATGAGACAGCATCTCTTTCCGTAGCCCTGGCTGTCTTGGAACTCACTGTGTAGACAGCCAGGCTGGCCTTGAACACACAGAGATTAGCCTGCTTCTGCTTCTGCTTATTGGGTGCTGGCATTAGGGGCATGCGCCACCACACTCAGATTTCTAGTCTCAGGTCTATGGATTTTCCGTCTGAAGAAATTCTTCCCCAGTGCATTTGTTCCTCTTCAGTGAGTGCCGTTTAGCCTTCTTCCAGGAAGATCTTGTCATCACATCTTTCTGGGGTACTTTCCTGGTTTGTATCTCCCAATTCCCTGAGCCTAGGTTCAGAATTTACCTTCGTGTTCTGGAGCAACCTTGATCAAATGTACTGTCCTTGGAAGTGCCCTTGCCTTGAATCCCCTCTTCTGTATACGTTCAGCAGCCCCTGTGGCTGTGTCAGTCTGTGCTCCGTCTTACAGAAACCACATTTCCTTTTTGTTGTTTATGCATTTAATACATTGTTCATATTGTCTACTTGATGCATTTGGTACTTTTTAATTTTTAAAGATTTGTTTACTTTGTGTGTGATTGTTTTTCTTTATGTATGTATGTGTACCATGTTCATGTATGGTGCTTGTGGAGGTCAGAAGAGGATGTTAGACCCCCCAGGAATTAGAGTTATGGATGGCGTGAGCTACAAAGTGCTGGAAACCCAACTTAGGTTTCTACAGTAGTAACAAATGGTCTTCACCACTGCACTCTCTCTCTAGCCCCTTCCCCATTTTTATTTAAGGAAAAATATTTTTTATGTTTATAAGTGTTTTGCCTGTGTATGTGTCTGTGTTCCTTGTACATGTAGTGCCCACATAAGCCAGAAGGTGTCAGATCCTCCAGAACTGGGGTTACACATGGTTATGACCTCCCATGTGGGTGCTGGGAACTGACCCAGGTCCTCTGAAAGACCAACAAGTGTTCTTAACCACTGAACTCTCTCTCAGCCTCCTGTTTTTATTAATATTAAGTATGTACAAGTGTGGGTATGCACAGGTGTTTGGAGGTGCCAGCAGATGCCCTTGGAATCATTCCATGGAGCTGGAGTCACAGGTGGTTGTGAGCCACTCAGTGTGAGTACTGGAGCTAAACCTGGGTCCTCTGCAAGAGTAGTCGGTGCTCTAAACTGCTGAGCCATCTCTCGAGCCCTGTGTTTGGTAGTTCAGTGCAGTAACTCTTATATCTTAAAACCTTTGGAGAGATAGCAATGGTTCCAGCCTCTGTTATGACTAAAATAATTCTAGCATTTATAGTCCTTTATGTTGTAGTATAATGATCCAAGGCAATCCAGACTGAGTCTGCAGTAACCTCCCTGGTTGTCAAAAATTTGATTATCACAATATAATCGAATGACTGGGCTGGTCTAGTATTTAGGCTATCTATTCTCCTTGTCTTAGGGGTTCTCTTATTAATCCTCCAGTGGCAATTTAACACTGTAATTCTCCAAATAAACAAACTGATTCCCTTTACCTGTTTGAGTTCTTAATTTCCTTTAAAGATATTCAAAAGCAAAACGAAGGCCTCTTGAACAGTCGAATTTACTTCCCTGTTTAACATTTTTCTCCTTCTCTTCCCAATCTTTTTGAGAGCGTCTTTTGTTTGTTGTTTCTTTTATCTTCTCTTCTCTTCTTTTCTTTTCTTTTGAGAACAGGGTATCTCTGTGTAGCCTTGGCTATCCTGGAACTCACTCTGTAGACCAGGATGGCCTTGAACTCACAGAGATCCACCATCCACCTGCCTCTGCCTCCCAAGTGCTGGGATTAAAGGCGTGCGCCACCACATCAGGTGCAAGAGGGGGTCTTGCTATGTGAGTTTTGGCTGGTTTAGAACTTGGTGGGTAGACCAGGTTGTCCTGGAATTTGCAGTGATCCTCCTGCCTCTGCTTTCTGAGTGTTAAGATTATGGGATTATATGTGACACTGATCAGCATTTTTTGTCTGTCTGTCTGTTGGTGGTTTATTGTTTTGTTTGTTTGTTTGTTTGTTTGTTTGTTTGATTGATTGTTTTGAGACAGGATGTGCATCACCACCATCTGGCTTCTGTCTGTTTTCTGAGACAGGGTCCCTCTATTACGTGGCTCTGGCTGTCTTGGAACTCACTCTGCAGACCAGGCTGTCCTGGAAATTACAGAAATTCTTCCAAATGCTGGGATTAAAGCCATGCACTACTATGCCTCGATCGCTTTTTCTTTCTTAAACATAGTTTCACACTTTGAAGCCCAGGCTGGCCTAGAACTCATGTAGCCCAGGTTATTATTGAACTCACAGAAGTCTTCCCTGGCTCAGCCTCAAGAGTGCTGAGGTTATAACCACCCTACTTGCCTGGCTTAACATTTATCTCTGCAGTACCATCGTTATTAATAAGCACTGACTTTTGTTTTATAGGAATATAGTTGTATCCTAGAAGTTGTGACCTTTGAGCATTCAAAAGCCTATAACTTTCTCATTTATTTATTTGTTTATTTACTTTGAGTATGATATATATATATATATATATCACATAAAATAGTTGGCATACCAAACGCTACAACTTACTCTTTCAATTAAAATCAGTTAATCAAAACAAAACTTTAAGTGGATATGTGTTGTAGTCTTGCATATTTCATAGCCATGAAAGTTTGCAGTCATGGGCTAGGGAGATAACTCAGTGAAGTGCCCGTCACACAAACATGAGTATTTTAGATCCTAGCGCCCACTTAAAGCCGGGTATGGCAGTATGGGACTGACCCCAGCAGTGGGGTGAGGTGCCAGGAGCTCACTTGTCAGCCAGCCCAGCCCAGTTGATGAGCTCCAGGCTCAGTGAGGCTGTTGAGGTTTCAGGTGTGTGGTTGAGAGTGGTTGAGGGAGATACCCGATATCAAATTGGCCTCTGCATGCACATGCCCACAGTACGTATACAGCACACCAGAAGTGGGCAGTCAGTAGAGTGTTGGAGTTTTCTCCTTTGGTGTATTCCTAGTGCCTTCACCTCATGATGTTCCTTAGTTATCTGGGGGCTTTATTTGCTTGGTATCTTTTTTATGTCTTATGTTCCCTCACAAGTGAAGTTGTTTTTACAAATAGATTTCTTCATAAGAAAATTAGAATCTACAACATCGAAGGGCAAATCTAATAACCAGATCTCTTTTCCTGCTAACCATTCCCATGACATACACGTTTTATTTTCTGACTTAGATCTTATTTTGAAATACTTGTGGATTTAAAAACAGTTGTTAAGGGCCAGTGAAATGGTTTAGCTAAGAAAGGCTCTTACTACACAAGCTTGATGGCCTGAGTTCCACCCCTGGGACTCGTGTGGTGGGAGGGGAGAACCAAAGTCAGAACGTTGTCCTCTGACTTCTGCACGTCTGCCATGACATGTGCACCCGCAATCATACACACATCAAATTCACATACACACAGTAGTAAGAAATACAGATTGTAAACTGATGGTAGCTTGTTTTACAGATTTGTTAATATTACTTTTTATTGTTGTAGCTATTGTAAATTGTTAGTATTGCTTTTTATACGCATAGTCAAAGTTTCTAATCACGATGGCTGTATTTTTTTTCCTCCATAGAAAGTGGAGCAGTTCCGAAGAGGAAAGACCCCCTAACACATGCTAGTAATTCACTGCCTCGATCAAAAACAGTCATGAAAAGTGGATCCACAGGGCTTTCAGGTCACCACAGGGCACCTAGTTGCAGTGGTTTATCCATGGTTTCTGGAGCGAGACAGGGACCTGGTCCCGTGGCTGCCACTCATAAGGTACTCTAGAACAGGGAGTGTAATTTTGCTTTGCAAGTACAAAACTTCGTCATGCTTGATTTTTTTGTATTAGTTCTCTATAATGCTTTATAGAATTGATCGGTTTCCACAAAGTTAAATATAATTTTAATTTGCGAAAACAATTTGCTGTTAAAATCTTAGGTCCTTTCGAATAATTAGGAATTTCATATTGTTTACTTACCAAGTCTTTTCAGTATAATGTATATGTCATTTTAATTCTAGTCTTAGAATTATTTCAGACTATGTAATTTATTTATCTATCCATCTATCTATCTGCCTATTTATTTATTCATTATGGTTTTCCAAGGCAGGGTTTCTCTGAGTAGCTTTGACTGTCCTAGAACTCACTCTATTGCACAGGCTGGCCTCGAACACACAGATCCACCTACACCTGCCTCCTGGGTGCTGGGATTAAAAGCATGCACCCCACTGACCAGCTAGATTATGTAAATTTTAGAATGTTAAACATACCTAGAGTTTTGTTGTAATTCTAACAAGAGTCAAAGATGGATGACTTTTCTTATAGGGTCTCTGGGTTTAAAAAAAAAGAGAGGTGGCGAGCTGGGCGGTTATGGCGCACGCTTTTAATCCCGGCACTCGGGAGGCAGAGGATCTCTGTGAGTTCAAGGCTAGCCTGGTCTACAAAGTGAGTTCCAGGACAGGCTCCAAAGCTACAAAGAGAAACCCTGTCTCGAAAAAACAAACAAACAAATGGAGAGATGGCTCAGAGGTTAAGAGCACTGCTTGTTCTTCCAAAGGTCCTGAGTTCAATTCCCAGCAACCACATGGTGCCTCACAACCACCTGTAATGAGATCTGGTGCCCTCTTCTGGCCTGCAGGGACACATGCAGACAGAACACTGTATACATAATAAATAAATAAGTCTTTTAAAAAAAAAGATGGGCGCGCGCTCCAACCCAAAGAGAGTGCTGGGTGTATGCCTGTTCCTTTGAGGAAGAGTCCACCCTTGAACCTAGAGCTGGTTTACTCTTGACTGGACGCCTGCAGGCCCTAGTGATCATCTGGTCTCCGTTGCCCTCAGGGCTGGGGTACAGGCATGTACAGGATGACTGGCGTGTTATGTGAATGCTGACATCCAAACTCCGTTCGTCATGATTTTTCAGTAAAAGCTCTTAACTGCTGAGCCAGTTTTCTGTCCCGCCTTTGTCTTTTATAATAACTGACTCTGGATAAAATCTATTAGCCCTCTTCATGTCAAATGTCGTTCTATAGTGAATGTAGGTTTGGGTTAAATGCTCAACCTTTGCAGTCTTAGAGTTTTTTCTTTGTGTTTGCCTTGTGTGGAGACCAGAGGTAGACCTCAGATAACTTCCTTAGTCACTTTGCACATCAACCCTGGATCTCACACTCTGCTAGAACAGCTGGCCTGTGAGCCCCAGGGAGCTGGGTTACAGATGACATGAGTGCTCAGGACCTGAACTCAGGTTCTTCTTGGTGTGTAGCAGGCATTTCACTAACTGAGCATCTCCCCAGCTTTGTGTCTCCCCCATTTTTATTAAATTCTCTCAACCTTTAGGGTCATTTATGAGTGAAAAGTCTAGGTTGTTTCACATTAAATTTTTGTGTCCTTCAAGGGTATTCCAAAACCAAATAGAACCAACAAACCTTCTACACCCACAACGGCTGTTCGGAAAAAGAAAGACTTGAAAAATTTTAGGAATGTGGACAGTAACCTGGCAAACCTCATAATGAATGAAATTGTTGACAAGTAAGTTCTGCCAAGCATTTCAGTTTCTATTTCTTATTTTTGTTTATAAAATACATATGTATGGGCTGGAGAGATGGCTCAGTGGTTAAAAGCACCAACTGCTCTTCCAAAGGTCCTGAGTTCAATTCCCAGCAACCACATGGTGGCTCACAATCACCTGTAATGAGATCTGGTGCCCTCTTCTGGCCTGCAGGGACACATGCAGGCAGAATACTGTATATATAATAGATCTTAAAATCTTAATTAATCTTTAAAAAAAGCCTTTAAAAAATATATGTATGATACATAATATTTTTACTTTTATACTTAATTTTTATGGTAGTTTTGAATATTTTTGCTAATAAGCAAGTTTCACAGTTAACATAAAAAAATGAGTAAACTATATTTCTGCTGTGAAATTAACTGATGTTCTGTTTTTTAGTGGGACAGCTGTAAAATTTGATGATATAGCTGGTCAGGATTTGGCAAAACAAGCATTGCAAGAAATTGTTATTCTTCCTTCTCTGCGGCCTGAGGTAAGGATTTTATGTTACCACATGATTAATTCATATTAAGTAATTCCAAGTTCAGTGCCTTAAAAATGCAAACATTAAAGTCTGGGGATATACCAAGCATCCAGCTGAGGAGGCTGAGGCGGGAGGGGTCTTGAGCTTGAGGCCAGTGTGGGTTCCACAGTGAGTTCTGGACCAGCCTGGGCTATACTATAGCATGATCTGTTTTACTCCTCCCTCACAAAAGGCATTCACATTGGCTTATTAATAGGAGATGAGAGTGAATTTAAGAAATTCTGAGTCCATTTTTAACTTTCATAAGAAAAGTAGGTAATTGTATGGTATAGTTTTTACTTAAGAGTTAAGGGATTTAATCCCAGCACTTGGGAGGCAGAGGCAGTCAGATCTCTGAGTTCGAGACCAGCCTGGTCTACAGAGTGAGTTCCAGGACTGCCAGAGATACACAGAGAAACCCTGTCTTGACCATCCTCACTCCCACCCCCCCAAAAAATTGCTTTTTTTCCCCAGTGCTAGAGTTAAACCTAAGGCTTTAGCTATATCCTCGGTCCCAAGATTTAAAATTAAGACTTTTGTACTTAAAATAACTGAACAGAGTGGGAAATTAAGATAAAATAATTCTATGAGTTTAAAGAGCAAACACCTTTAAGAAATTATTTTCACTGTGTTAATTTGCTGGAATATTAACAGATAGCCAGTGAACGATGCATAGGGATCTGGCCTACCTCCTATTTTCAGTCATTAAAGGAAATGGATAATCTTTAAGTTACTAATTAAAGTTGGCATTGTTTGGTCTTCTGTCAGCTAGCATATTCATTGTGTGTCAGTGATGGGAAGACTCCAGTTTGAGGACCCATTTCTGGACCACATCCGGGTCTTCCTGACAGTTCCTCAACAGCTATAGAAACAGTTGTGTGGCACAGTGTGAGGTGCCCTGTTCAGGGGAGGTGCGAAGGCTGTGTGGCTCAGTCATTCATATCCTCTGTGGTGTTTGTCACTTTTGGGCACCTACTAATCTAGAAGTTACTGCTGGATGTTGTTTTTCCAGTTTGTATCTTTTCCTTTCTACTTTCTTGTTTTTCTTTTCTGGATGAGGTTTCAGGATGTTGTCCAGGCAGGTCCTGAAATCAGCCTCTTAGTCCAGGATGTCAGCACTCACCACCATGCCCATTTTTGTCTATCTAAAATTTTTTTAGTTAGTACTTGTCATTCTAAGTCGTGAAATCACCAGTTTGATGGGTAAATACATTTTTGTTAATACCCATAAAATTAGGGTTAAGACAGAAAACATTTCTCTTTTATGAACCAAAGGAATGTCATGTGCCCAGCTAGGGCCCCTTAGGGAGCATACTGAAGCTTGTAGAGTGAGGTACAGGGCAGGCCATAGATAGGATAGTTTATAGACTGAGTAGTAACTCAGTAGACTGAACCTAAATCCAAGGAAAGCTTGTTACAGGAGGAATCATATAATGGCAGGTCTGAAGAGAACTTTACGGCCTGTTGTGTGACACACACCTAATCCCAAGCCTTGGAGGCAAAGGCAGGCAGATCCCTTAGTTTGAGGCTAGCCCAGTCTACATAATGAGTTTCAGACCAGCCAGGGCTACATAGTGAGACCCTGTCATATCCTCCCCCTCCAAAGAAAGATATTTTTAGATGACCAATGGTAAATACTTGACATGTCTGGATGAGCTCTCTAGAATCATGGCCATAACCAAATGTGTTTTGTAAAGTTGTTCACAGGGCTTAGAGCTCCTGCCAGAGGGCTGTTACTCTTCGGTCCGCCTGGAAACGGAAAAACCATGCTGGTAAGAGTGCTATCAAGATGGAGGATTCCACTGAAATAATTAGGATCATATGAATTTTGACTTATTTGTTGTAATATACTGCTTCAGTTTCTAAAATAGTTTTCATGCAAAAATAAATGGAAAGCATTGTGTTATTTGCAGTAGCATGTTTTGGCTTTGTTTTGCAGAAGCACTTACCTTACTTTCCTGAGGTTCTGTCTAATGACGCTTAGAATATTCCTGTCTTAATGAATCTGACCAGTTAGTTTATGGTTTTTTTTTTTGTTTGTTTGTTTGTTTTTTTATGCAGTGTCCTTTGGCCAGAGCCTTTAAAACAAACAAACAAACCATAATCTGAATATCTATATCTGAGTCCTTCTTAGCTGTAAAAACAAATAGACATTAAAAGCATGGTGGCACACACCTTAATTCCAGCACTGAGGAGGCAGAGGCAGGGGGATCTCTCTGAGTTCAAGGCCAGCCATGGCTACATAGTGAGATGTGGTCTCAAACAACAAAACCCCACAGGAAAAGAATAAATTTCCTTGTGCCTGTTTAACTTTCTCTGGCCAGTATCTTCCTGCCAAAGAGAAGAGACTTCCTCCCTGGCTTTCCCTGGGAAGAAGCGTACCACGTAGACTCTTGACATAGCCGGTGCTGGGAGTCACATCACACCCTCTCTTCTGGTACTTCGATGAGCAGGTGTAGCTGTCTTTTACAAAATCAGGATATTGGACTAACATGTTTCCTCTTCTGACTTCAAGGCCAAAGCAGTAGCTGCAGAATCCAATGCCACCTTTTTCAACATAAGTGCTGCGAGTTTAACTTCAAAATACGTAAGTGCTCCTTCCCCATACTGCCATGTAAATGACCGTCTTACGTGCTGTGTTAATAAAATGACAGCAGCATTGTTGAAAAGTACTTTCTGCTTGTGTGTAATGAGTATCCCTCTTCGAGGTACAGAGTTACGCGTCCTTTTTAGTTATTTTAAAATGAGAATTATGTTGTTGAATACTGTCATGGTTTGTTTGGTAGGCCCTAGCTTAACAGTGCCAAAGTTGCCTGGATCAAATACCAGAAATTTATTGCACAAACAGATAGGATGTGGAAATACATACTGAGGAGGCTGGAGGTGTAAGATCTAAGTGTTAGCAGTGGCACTACCTTCTGGGAGCCACAGCAGTGAGTGTGTCACAGGCTTCTCCTGGTTTCTGGTGTGCTGACAGTCCCTGGCAGTTCTTGCCTTGCAGATGCGGTTTCCTGTATTATCACATGACAGTCTCTCTGTAATTCCTGAGTTCACGTTACCATGTGTTATAAGAATACAGTTTCTTTAGAGTAGGGTTCACCCTACTACCTCGGCTTGATTTGACCATCTGTAGGGATGCTATTTCCAAATTGTCTCATTTCTAGACACTAGAGCTGGGGCTTCAGTGTGTTTGGGGCAATGTAATCTGGGCTGTAATAAATACCATCCCTTCTACTTAGCTCCCTAATGTGACTGTCTAGAGAGCTACCATGTGTGAGAATTAGGGTAAATTGAATATTCCCTGCTGTTTGACTCTAAATTAAAATATGACATAAGACTTCCTCTGTTTTTTTGTTTTGTTTTGTTTTCATTTTCATTTTCAAGACAGGGTCTCTTTCGATATAGCCCTGGCTGTTCTGAAACTCGCTATGTAGACCAGGCTGGTCTTGAACTCACAGAGATGCGCCTGCCTCTACCTCCCGAGCACTGGGATCAAAGGCGTGTGCCACTATGCCTGGCTCTCCTGTTCTTGTTTTATTGCTTTATATCATAGTTTAGATTTCTAATTTTCTTTCTTCTGGCTTCAGTGATATTCTAAGAAGAACTTAGTCTCAAAAATTTGAGAGTAGTACAGCTATACCTGCAGGGTTGAGGAGAGGTGGGGCCTGTCTCAGTCAAAATGTTCTTCGTTCTTGCTAGACAAGCCTGAGGATCTGAGTTTGAGCTCTGGAATCCACACTAAAATCTCACTAGGCCAGTGAGAGACCTGTTCTCAAAAAAAGAGAGCACCAAGATGGTGGTACCATGCATGACACACACACACACACACACACACACACACACACACACACACACACACACACACACACACACACACCAGACCTGTCCTGGATGTTTATAACTAGCCTGAATGGAACTGGTACACTGTAAGACTGAAATATTTCCCATTGAAACTTAGTTTGAGAAAGTAAATAGTGTGTTTTCTAAAATTATACATTCTGTGACACCATTTAATATATCATGAGATCATGAAGTTAAATTTTAAATCATGATGAAAACTGGACTGCTGTTGCTTTCATGTGTGTTATCTGTGCATCACACCTTGTAGGTGGGGGAAGGAGAGAAACTGGTGAGAGCTCTCTTTGCCGTGGCTCGAGAACTTCAACCGTCTATAATTTTTATAGGTAAGTATTTTTCCCAACTAGGTTGAGCATTTATGAAATACCACTTCCCTAGTATGAGAACTTTGCTTAAAAAGCTATTCAGAAGGACAGCATTTAAAGAATGAATTCAGCAGGACTATTAATAAGTATGAATATTCGATGATTTGCTTAGTTTGGGCCTAAACCTCCTCTTCACATTTCCTCTAGATGAAGTTGATAGTCTTTTGTGTGAAAGAAGAGAAGGGGAGCATGATGCTAGTAGACGACTGAAAACTGAATTTTTAATAGAATTTGATGGTGTAAGTATTGATGATCGTATATGTGTATATGTTCTTTTTAAGATTTTTTTATCATATGTGTTTGTGCATTTGCCTGCGTGAGCTTTTGTGTACCATGTGTGTTCAGGAGCCTATTAATAGAGGCCAGAAGAGTGCATAAGATCTCCCAAAACTAGACTTACATGTGGTTCTGAGCTGCCATGTAGGTGCTAGGAACTGAAACCTAAGTCTTGCAGAGCAATAAGTGCTCTTAACCTCTGAGCCGTCTTTCTAACCACTTACTAAAGTTTTTCTATGGCAGTATTTTAATATGTATACTTTCCTACTAAATGAACCAAGCTATAAATACATGCATGTATAGTTTCCCTTTTTATTTTATCTAAAATGCTGACAAAACTTTTTGGCTTGCAGGTACAATCTGCTGGAGATGACAGAGTACTTGTAATGGGTGCAACTAATAGGCCCCAAGAGCTTGATGAAGCTGTTCTCAGGTAGTGAGAGACGTTTATGATGGTTACATTTCTTGTGTTCATCTCCTCTATCTCTCTCTCTCTCTCTCTCTTTTTTTTTTTTTGGAGGGGAGGGTGTCAAGGTCGTACTATGTCACCTTGGCTGGCCTGGAACTCATAGAGATCTGCCTGCTTCTGCCTTCCTCGTGCTAGCATGAAAGGAGTGTGTGCCACCACACCTGGGTTTATCTCACCCACCTCTGATATCCTGTACTCTCAGCTTTAAGACTAAATGACTTGCCTCCATGTGTTGTCCACTGCTGTCCTGGTGTTGCCAACTCTAGCAAATGAGGTTAGGCCTAGGATGTTATTAAAACGGTTCTCTACAGATACATTTAGATAGATCATTTTTTTTACTTAGCATTACATTAACTTTAAAGTCTAAGACCACTCCCTACCATCATTACTCTTTCCTTCAAGACAGTGTTTCTCTGTGTAGTCCTGGCTGTCCTGGAACTCATTCTCTAGACCAGACTGGCCTCAAACTCTCAGAGATCCACCTGCCTCTGCCTCCCAAGTGCTGGGATTAAAGGCATGTCCCATCACCACCTGGCAGCAGAATTCATGAGAACTGCTCTCCACTCTTGTGTGTTTGAACAAAGTAACTCTTCATGCTGGAAGAAGAATCTTTGACTCAGTATTAGATTCCTAGTTTTCCTTATCTCAAGGCATTTTTATAGCATAACTATGTTTTTGTGACTGGCTGTTGACAAGGTAGAAGTCTTGAATCCATGTTGTTTTCTTTTTCATGGCCCCTTATTCTTTCATTATTGTTACACAGCATCTGCTGAGTTCACTTAGTGTTGCTCACATGTGTGTGCTTAGGGCTGACTGCATGGGATTGGATAACCTTAGAAGCACCGTCCCTGAAGACGACTTTCTCCCTCTTCCAGCAGGCATTAATTACCTTCAGTAGCTCTTCATCTAGGCATGAGGCCTTGTGAGATTTTCCCATCCATGTTTCATGTCAAAAGGTGCTATCATTTTTCAGGTCTCATTTTAGGCAATCATATTGAAGTATCACGAGTGCAGCTGCTCTGTCATTCTTTTTTTAATTGTGTTTATTTGGATAGGGGAAATGCATGTGCATATAAGTGTGTGCATGGAAATTGAGGACATCTTCCTAGAGTCTTCTGACTCTACCACTTGATGTAGAAGATCAAATTAAGGTCACAGGCTTGGTGCCAAGCACTTTTATTCATTGACCATCAGGCCTGTTTTTTTTTTTTGTTTTTTTGTTTTTTGTTTTTTTTTGAGACAGGGTTTCTCTGTGTAGCTTTGCACCTTTCCTGGAACTCGCTTTGGAGACCAGGCTGGCCTCGAACTCACAGAGATCCGCCTGCCTCTGCCTCCCGAGTGCTGGGATTAAAGGCGTGCGACACCACCGCCCGGCTTTATTTTTGTTTTTAAACAGGGCATCTCTGTGTAGCCCTGGCTGTCCTGGAACTCGCTCTGTAGACCAGGCTGGCCTTGAATTCAGAGATCTACCTGCCTCTGCTTCCTACGTGCTGCGTGGCATGATGTTTATTATTATTGTTGTTGTTATTTTTAATCTTTGGCTTTTTGGAATAGGATCACAAGTACCCCAGGTTATACTCAGTTCACTGATTTAGTCCAAGCTAAATTCTCCTGACTCCATTCCCTAAATGCTGGGACCACAAGTACACACCTCCACACACACTTTCATACTTTCCCCATTGTTTAATTTCTTGGCCCTAGCATCACCATGCAGGCCACTCGGGTGTTTGGTGGCTGTGGTCACTGTCCACCCTGGAAACTGCCACCCCACTGGAGCAACTCTGGGCAGCTGAGACGAGGCTGTGGCTGCCTCAGGTTATACTTAAGTTGCCTTTATTTAAACATCATGAAGTACTGTGGGTTAAGATGTAATTCAGCTTTACTTGACAATAATAATTAAACTCTTTTTAGTATTAAAAATAAAAGTACAGTTGTAAAAGAGTGTAAAAATAAGTCCAAAAGCCTGTCCCAGTTCATAAAATCATAGCCTTGCCGAGAACCAGATTAGATACTGTGTGAGCTCTGCTTAACTGGTCCACACAGTAAACCTGTGTAAATAAAACCTAGTCAATAATGATGAGATGAACATTTCTCTTTCTGTAATCTTTGTCCTGTCTGTTTATTATGCCAGATATTGTTTGTTTCAAAATATCATTGCTATTAAAGTACACATAAAATACAGACTTACTTTAACCATGTATTAAAGATTTTTTTTTAATTTTTTAAATTTATTTATTAAATTTAATTTTACATATCAGCCACGATTCCCTTGTTCTCCCCCAAGATTTTTAAGCATTAACTAGAGAGTTTGAAAAAAAATATCAACCAAGCCTGAAGGCAAACCCCTATGATCCAAACTACTTAGAAGGCTAGGCAGGAGGATCATGAGTTCAAGGCCTGCCTTTTCTACAGAGTGAGGTCAGGGCCAGCCTGGGCAACTTAATGAGAATATGTCTTAAGATAAAACGTGAAATAAGGGCCAACAAAGGGTTGTGTAGCACGGGTGAGGCCACAGGCTCACTTGCAGGTGAGCCGCCCACACTAAAAACGTAAAAAGACCTTTCTACATTAGTGATCCGAAGGCGCTTTTAGTTCCCTTAGATATTACAGTTACAGCTTTTTCCTGTCAGTTGTTACTTGAACTGAGTTACCTATAACTTCAAATTTATATTTCTAATTTGACTTTTCAGGCGATTCATTAAACGGGTATATGTGTCTTTACCAAATGAGGAGGTATGTATATTTATATTTCAATTTTTTATTAAAGTAAAAGCAAGGACCATTCTCTCAATATTGTATTTGCAACTCTGTGGTATAGCCATTTTGAAAACAGTTTGTTGGGGTTGGAGAGATGGCTCATCAGTTAAGAGCACTGACTGGCTGCCCTTCTAGAGAACAGGGTTCAATTTCCAGCCCCTGCTAGGGGTTCACAACTGTAGGTAGCTCCAGTTCCAGGAGGTCTGACACTGTCTTCTGGCTGACACAATCAATACATACATGTGGTCCCTATACATACATGCAGGTGCAAAATATCCACACATATAAGATAAAAATAAATCATAAAAAGAGAAAGCTTGTCAGTTTCTTAAAAGAATAACCATAAACTTAAATATGACCCAGCAATTCCTGAACATTTATCCAAGAGAAAGACATAGGAAGGCATGCTCAACAATATTAGAGCAGCTGTCTTAATACTAGCCTCAACCTGCCAAAAAATTAATTACTTAATGAATAAACAAATGTCCTATATCCAGTTGATGAGTGCTATTTAGTTCAAAAATTTATTATTTCATTATCTAGGGTTTGGGGTGTAGCTTAGAAATAGAGCATTTGTCCAGCATGTATAGGGCCCTGGGTTTGATCCACTGAATTGAAAAAAAATTCATCAGCTCATATTACACTTAATGAACAAAATTAAAAAACAGTGTCATCAGGGAGAGGAGCCATATACATATGATTTCATTTTATTGTTTTATTTACTCATTTTTCTTCAAAACTTTGTGTATAATTGTTTTTCCTGCTGTCTGTCTGTGTGTACTTGGGTCCCAGTCAGGCCAGCAGAGGAGATTAGAACCCATGAAACTGGAGTTACAGAGAGTTAGGAGCCTTCATGTGGGTGCTGGAAATCAAACCAGGTCCTTTGAAAGAGCAGCCAGTGCTCTTAACCACTGAGCCACCTCTCCAGCCCCGATTTTATTTCTTTCAAATGAAATATTTAGAAAAGACAAATTTCTAGAAATGCAGTCAGACCAGTGGTTAGATAGGAAAGGAGGTAGGGTGGGGATTAATTCTAAACAGGCATGAATGAACTTCCAGGGGTGGCAGATGTTCTAAAGTTTTATTATGTAATGGTTTTATAAATCAGTATAATTAAGTCATTTGAATTATATACCTATAATGTATGAAGTCCTTGCTGTATAAAATCATATGTCAATAAACCTTTTTGAAAACATTGTATTTCTTGGAGCTGGAGAGATGGCTCAGCAGTTGAGAGCACTTGCTGCTCTTACTGTGTGGGCTTGGTTCCCAGAACCCACATGGCAGCTCACACCCATCCATAATTCCAGTTTTCAGAGGATCAGCACCCTTTGGCTTCTGTGGGAACAGGACACCCATATATACATTTGGGCAAATACTCACACATACAAAATCAGAATCAACCAATCTTGGTAAAAAACTGTAGTTTTCTAGTTTAGGCCCTAGGCATCCTTGGTAGTAACAGCAGCCACTTCCTCATGCTGTATGCCCACTGTGTGTTTGGAAGTTCCCGCACTAGTTATCACAAAGAGATTTTGTTATATTTAACAGGCAGAAATGAGACCTGAGCCTGGAAGAGTCCATTAAGCTAGTTCTTAGTTTATTAAATAACACTGATCAGGTTTTAATTCTGTTATGAGGTTGAGCCTGATTGATAATTCTTTAATACTTATTTTCAGACGAGACTGCTTCTACTTAAAAACCTGTTATGTAAACAGGGAAGCCCACTGACCCAAAAAGAACTTGCACAACTTGCTAGGTGAGTGGTTTCATTCATCCGACTGTCTGTGTTACGGTGTTTGTTCCATTTGTAAAGATGTCTCCTTCTATGCTGTTTAAAATGAGCTAATGGAAAACTTGCTTAAGTAAAACAAGCTTATTTGAACAGTTCATTTACTAAACTTCTTGCCTTATCTTTTACTTCCTTTATTTTCTTACCTCCTCTTCATGATAAAATGGAATTTCAATTTCTGTCTTATACTAGACCTGAACTAAATATCTAATAACAATATTATAGTCTTTCTATCAATAAAGCTTATAAATCGCCGGGCGGTGGTGGCGCACGCCTTTAATCCCAGCACTCGGGAGGCAGAGGCAGGCGGATCTCTGTGAGTTCGAGGCCAGCCTGGGCTACCAAGTGAGTCCCAGGAAAGGCGCAAAGCTACACAGAGAAACCCTGTCTCGAAAAATCAAAAAAAAAAAAAAAATCAAAAAAAATAATAAAGCTTATAAATCATATTAAAATAATTTGAAAGGTAAAATCCCCTCATATTTGAGACCAACACAGATATTTTCATATATATTTGCTTTTTTGTATTAGGTGAATGACATTTATTTGTTCATCTGAAAACATACTTTTTTTTTTTGAGTAAAACCAAAATTTATTATAAGCCACAGTCGTCTTAGGGTCCCCCTTGCTATATATATAGCCTCCATGGTTCTGTGGGTTGTAGTCTGATGATTCTTTATTTTATATCTAGAATCCACTTATGAGTGAGTACATACCATGACTGTCTTTCTGGGTTTGGGTTACCTCACTCAGAATGATTTTTTCTAGTTCCATCCATTTGCCTGCAAATTTCATGCTCTGAAAACATACTTTTAAGCATAATAAGGAAGCTGAGTGAGGTGGTGCACACCTTTTCCCAAGCACTCAGAGGTAGAGGCAGTAGAATCATGAATTTAAGGCCAGTTTGGGTTACATGTAGAGACCCCATCTCAAAACCAAGAAGAGTCACGACACTGGAACAGCAACTGTCACTGCAGTGTCGTGCAGGGAAGGCCAGAGACTGGCCCTTCTTCGGACTCCGTCAGAACCTTTGTGTGCATGGCTGGGGGAGTGACTCGGTGGTTGAGAGTCCTGTCCCGCTCTGCAGCAGACTCCTCAGGCCGCTCTCTGAAGACCGTCCCCCAGGCAGGCTTTTTCTTTCTCCTTCCACCTTAAGGAAGCTCCTCCTTCCCTCTAAGGCTTCCATCATGCTGGCTTGCTCACATAATGACAGCATTTCCATCCCTCCTCGATGCCCTATCAGGGTCTTGAGACCAATTCTCCTAATGAAGCTGATTCCTGAGAGGGAACTGTGGCAGCCTCCTTTCCCAAACAGTGCTACTGCTTACTGTCTCCTCATTATCACATTCACTAAATGGAAAATGACTGACAGGAAACATTGTGGGTCAAGGGGATTCTTGTAGACTGACTGAATTTTTATAGAAGGCAGGCAGCATTATTATATCTTAAGCAGGTCAGGTACCAAAGATTTAGGACTTTCAGTAAACCCACTCAGAACACTATTGGTTTGTGTGAACCGAATTCTGCAATAAGCCTGAGAGAGTAAAGGGAGGGGAGTTGAGCCTGATGAATGGCAGACCATATATTAAACACTTTATCACTGTACTTGAGTAGACCCTGGCTGCAGGCAGGACATCCACAGATTACATCCCTGAAAATGGCATAAAATAGTTTAAGGAACCAGAGGATCAGGTCAAGGTCATCCTTGCTACATAGCAAGTTTTTGGCCAGTCTGGATATAAGTATAAAGTAAATAAAATGAGTTGTTTTCTTGGGCCTTTCCTGGAACCCCATTTAAATGATAGTGTCTCACTAATATATAGCATTTAGCCCAGCAGTAGAGTGCTTGCCTGGCATGTATAAGACCCCAAGGTCCTTTCCTAACACTACTACTACTGAAAGGGAAAAAAAAAGGCAGGAAAGGAAAAGATTGTTTTTACTTTGTTTGTTTGAGATAGGATCTCACTATATATCCCTGACTAGACTGGAAGTCAATATGTAGACCAGAGCAGCCGTGAACTCACATGGGTCTTGCCTGTCTCTGCTGGGGCTAACGGTGTGTCTCACTGTACCCAGCTCTAATTTAAAAACTTAGGAAGTGGTGCCCAAGAGATAGCTCAGAGGTTAAGAGCATTGGCTGCCTTTCCAGAGATCCTGAGTTTGATTCCCAGAACCCAGATGGGACTCACAACCATCTAAATACAGTCTCAGGAGATCTGATGCTCTCTTCCGGCCTCCTGTGGTACCTGGGTTACATGTGGTACACAAATACATGCAGGCAAAACACCCATACCATAAAACAAAAAACAACAAAAAAGTTACTTAGTTGAGTAGTAATTTATAAGAATACCAAACTCCTAAATGCCCATAAAATAGGAGCATCTGTAGGCCAACCTGTCTGCTGAGGTATCCTATTCAGGTGTACTTCCTTTTTACAACTATCTTCTATACAAACATTGCTTTTATCTTTTCTGCCCCCATTTAATGAACTACACCTTTTTAGGTCTCACCTCACTAAGGGGGTGCTCTTTGCCAGTGAAGAGACTACTTAACTTACCAAACAAGTAATTGTAGCTGGATGTGGTAGTGCATTCCTTTATCCCAGCACTTAGGAAGTAGTGCACTACATAATAAGCCCCCTTCTTAGAAAAAGAAAAAAGTAATTGTAGTTATGTGCTAATTGGCTACTAATGGCTTATAAATTTGACCTTTCCAGGTGATGTGTTTATAACTTAATGTGACCTGCCTCAGGGTATACCTTATCCTAAAGCAGAGGTGTCCTGTATTTTGACATTACATATGACATAGTCATCTATAAGTGTGTGGGCCTCATTCATAGCTATCTTCAGATGCGTGTAGGCTTCCCATTAGACAGATAGAAAGGAATGGTTCTCTAATGATGAAAATCTGAGGTGTTATAAGGAGTGAACATTAGATTGTGTTGTTCTGGGGTTTTTTTTGTTTTTGTTGTTGTTGGTGGTGGTGGTAGTGGTTTTTCAAGACAGGGTTTCTCTGTGTATCTTTTCTCACTCTGTAGTCCAGGCTGGCCTCAAACTCACAGAGATCCTCCTGGCTCTGCCTCCTGAGTGCTGAGATTAAAGGCATACGCCGCCACCACCCAGCTAGATTGTGTTGTTCTTTTAAATGGGCCTTTCTATGACCTTAAAAAATTAAAATCAAGCCGGGCGTTGGTGGCGCACGCCTTTAATCCCAGCACTCGGGAGGCAGAGCCAGGCGGATCTCTGTGAGTTCGAGGCCAGCCTGGGCTACCAAGTGAGCTCCAGGAAAGGCGCAAAGCTACACGGAGAAACCCTGTCTCGAAAAACCAAAAAAAAAAAAAAAAAAAAATTAAAATCATGGCCCTGGAGAGATGGCTCAGCAGTTAAGAACACTGGCTGCTCTTGGAGAAGACCTACGTGAAGTTCCCCACACCTACACTGGGTGGCTCACAACTACCTATAACTCCAGTCCCAGGGGATCAGTGCCTTCCTCTGGCCTCCGTGAGCACATGCACACACACAGTTCTGTGCAGACATACAATCAGGCACACATACACATAAAACAAATACATTTTAGAAGAATGAAAAAATCAAACTACATAATTGTTAGCTTGCCTTTCATGTAGAGATTTTTGTGTGCTCTTTCTGGTGGGGCTTTTTGTTTTACTGTATAGTTGAAGTTAGTCTCAAGTTTGTGATCCTTCTTCCTGTACCTCATGAGATGTAAGATTACAGGGAAGTTTTAATCTGCAATGAACAAATTTGTTATCTCCTGCTTCCACTGTTCAGAATGACTGATGGATACTCTGGAAGTGATCTAACAGCTTTGGCAAAAGACGCAGCACTGGGCCCTATCCGAGGTGAGTATGAAAGCCTTCGAAACACTAGAACTCTGAATGGTACATGGTATAAGTATAGCCTCTTGAGAGATGCATAGTTTTACATTTTATTTTATTTATCTGACGTGTTTGAGAGTTTTGACTGTTTTTTTGATGGTGGTGTAGGGGGCTGTTTCTCTGTGTAATAGTCCTGGCTGTCCTGGAACTTGCTTTGTAGACCAGGCGCAGGCTAGCCTCTGCCTCCCAGGTGCTGGATGGGATCAAAGATATGCACCACTGTGCTCGGCTAGAGTTTTGCCTTCTTCTATGTATTTGCTCCATATGCATGCAGTGCCCACATAGGTCAAAAGAGGGTATCAGATATCCTAGAACTGGAGTTACAGCCAATCGGGAGCTGCCATGTGGGTGCTAGGAAACAAACATAGATCCTCTTGTAAGAGCAGGAAGTGCTCTTAACCACCGAGTCACCAGTGTAACTGGAAGTTTCTCTGGTCCTGCCCAGCACATCAGTGCCAAACTTTCCCACCCACATCCCACAGCCACTTGGTCCCAAGTAAACACATAGAAGCTTATATTATTTATAGGCTGTATGGCCTATAGGTCAGGCTTCTCGTTAGCTAGCTCTTATAACTTAACTCAGCCCATTTCTATTCATCTGTATGTTACCACGTGGCTGTGGCGTTACTGTTACTGGCATCTTGTTGCTCCGTGAGCCGCAGGCTTGCGTCTTCCCACACCTCACCCTTCTTCGACAATACCAACTATGAACGCTCTCCTTCCCTGATGAGCAGGACACAGGGAGGCAGGACCGGAGAAACTTCCAGCTACATTTGGTGCCCAGTGTGGGGCACTGATCTACACAGACCTGATAAAGCTTAAAAAGGATTCTTAACACACAGAAACAGAGCCAAACTGGGCTTCCTGTTCTTGGGGTCTCATGCCAGCAGCAGCACAGAGACATGTCTCCCAATAGCCGCCTGCAAGATGGAGCTGGCCACCAGCTGCCATGATCAAAGCAGCAAGGTGGGCTGGCGTCTCCTCAACTCCACCCTTCTCTTCCTCTCCTCTTCAGTTTCAATGTACTGCCTAACCTTATCCTGCCCTGCCATAGGCCAGTGCAGCTTTATTTATCAACCATTCAGAGCAACACATATTCACAGCATACAGAAAGACATCCCACAGCACATCATTATAAAAGAAGTAAAGTTGTATCAGTACACAGCTTGACACAAAACAGTATCTAAAGTAGAAGTCAATATGCATTCTTTGTGAAAAATCAAAGTAAATGGTTTAGGCTTTCTGGAAAACGTGTTCTCTGTTGCATGTTCCTTATCTTTTCTTCATTAACAACCTTTAAAATATAAAACTAGGTTGACTAACTGACTCAGCTGTTAAGAGAACCTGAGTTCGGTTCCCAGCACCAATGGCAGATGACTCACAACTGCCTGTAACTCCAGCTCCGGAGGGTACAGTGCCTCTAGCTTCTTTGGGCACCTCTTCTCTACTTGTACAGCTCCCCCTCCACACACATAATGGTTCATTATAATAATAGTAATAATAAATGTAAAGCAATCTGCAGAACATGTGAAAATAGCCCACGAGCATTTCATCCCCCTTGTTTTCTAAAACCTTTTACCACTCATCTAAACCCTAAGTGTGGATCTGATCCCTGCTGGGGATTTACACAGTAATCTATAGATTGAATGTCCTGTCTGTCCGTTTTGAGAACAGAGATAGGGACTGCACATAGTCTTACTACCTGGTATGTAAGTGTACCTCAGGTGTATACAAACGAAACAGTACTAAGTCAAACAAATGGGTGCAAACTAGGCTTTCAGGAAAGGCTGTCCAAATGGTCAGGCTTTTCCCAACTGAATTGTACTTAATACATACAGCAGCAATCACAAAAATTACATTTTTTATTTTATATAGAGGCATCCACATCTAGTACATAGTGTATAAAAGAAAAAACTTAGTACTTACATTGCATATGTTGAGTTTAATTTTCCTTTGTTTGTTTGTTTGTTTGTTTGTTTGTTTGAGACAGAGTCTTTCTGTGTAGTCTTGGCTATCCAGGAACTCACTATGTGGAGCAGGCTGGTCTCAAAACTTATATAGAGATCTACCTGTCTCCAAAGTGCTAGGATTAAAGATATGTACCACCATGCCCAACTGTTGTATTAATTTTGACAAAGCTGAGAAACATAGTATATGTAGCACTCATAGGTATATATTTACATCTCTTATTATGGATACATGGGGTATTAAATATAGTATTAAATATAGTATATTCACGCCTTTGTAGTTCTGTGTGCTCTCTGTGTACATGTCCCTTGACTTCAGTGATTTGTGTTACACAGGTCACTGTATTTACATTAAGTATCTGACTTATGTCTTACAGAGCTGAAACCAGAGCAGGTGAAGAACATGTCTGCCAGTGAGGTATATACTATTCTATGATGACTTTTCTTCATTTGAATCCACTTAATTAGAAACAAGACAACTTTAACTTTGTTTCATTTCAATATATAAAAAAAATCAGTTACTATGCTGTATTTTACAAATGGTTAAAAAACGCAGTCATTTTCTCTAATCAGGCTATGTAAGCACTGGATGAAAATTTCCATGAACCTGGATTTAGTATGTTAGGAGGATCCCTAGAGATGTAGCTCAGTGACAGAGTGCGTGCCTACTATGACTAAGGCCTTGTTCGGTCCTCAGCAATATTCATAGTAGCAAGCTTCATATGCAAGCATCTGACATGCTGCCAAAAATCAGCATTCCCGTGTCGTGTTTATTGTAACCAGCCCCATGAACCGGCACAAACTTAGCAGATACACTTGTGGTAAATAGAAGGGGACCAGTGTGCGATCTTATGGAACTGTGGAGAGAGAAAAACCAGAGATAACATGTAGATGTAACCAACCGTCTTATTAAATAAGAAACACAGAACCAATGTAAAAGAGAAAGCCAAGAGGTCAGAGCTTAGAGCTAAAATCTCACCCTTCCTCCTGCCGTGTCCCAGCTTCCCGAAAGAACACTACTTCCTGTGTGTAAGTCATTTCATAGTCATTCTGCCTTCTCATTGGTTGTAAACCCAAACACGTGACTGCCTCGTCACTGTCTGTATGTACAGCCCCCCAGGTCTTAAAGGCATATGTCTCCAATGCTGGCTGTATCCCTGAACACACAGAGATCTATGGGATTAAAGGCGTGTGCCACCACCGCCACACTCTGTCTATGGCTCTAATAGCTCTGACCCCCGAGCAACTTTATTTATTAACATACAATCAAAACCACATTTCAGTACAATTAGAATACCACCACAGTAACATCAGTTTGGGTTGTTGTCTTAGTTACTTTCCTATTGTAACAAACAAAACACCATGACCAAGGTAACTTAAAAAGTAGCAACTGTGACCAGCATGGCAGCAGGCAGGCAGGCAGGGTACTGAAGCAGAAGCTGAGAGCTTACGTCTCTATCAGCAAGGAGGAGGCCAAAAGAGGTACGCTGGACCTGGCATGGGCTTTTGAAACCTCAAAGAGCACCCCCAGTGATACACTTCCTCCAATAAGGAACAGTTCCACCAACTTCAGATCAACAGTCAGATATGTGAGCCTTGGCAGGTCGAGGCATTCTCACTCAAACCACTACAGTTATATATCCCAGTGGGAGAATTTCAGTATTTTTTCTATTCTTTGTCAGATTTTTCTCTAATGGATGTGTGGAGTTTTCTTTTAGTGAGGAAAACATGCTTTGAAATGTTAATACACAAGTAATAATAGTACATTGGCATACTGCTTATAAGGTTCTTGTATAGCAAACTTGCCTAATATGTAATACAAAATACATTTAAATGGTTAGCATGATTTTCTAAGAGTATGTCTGTGTCTTATAAAATCAACAAAGTTCCATTTTAATCCAGTGTTTAATGTATACACATTCATAATTTTATGTCACTTTTTTTTTAATCTAGATGAGAAATATTCGGTTATCTGACTTCACAGAATCCTTAAAAAAGATAAAGCGCAGTGTGAGTCCTCAAACCCTAGAAGCATACATCCGCTGGAACAAGGACTTTGGAGACACCACTGTTTAAAGGAATGCCTTGTAAGCCTGCAGAACGTTTTACTTCACAAGAAACAGGAGCTTCAGAGAAGTTATCAGCTACAGGAACTCAGATTTCGTTTACAGGACTTTTTAGAGTTTTCCTTTTTGTGCACCAAACTTGAAGAGGAACAAGAAGACAGACCTAAATAAAATATGCAATGTGAATGAAATTTTTGTTGAAGGCCTCTTGCCTGATGGTCATGGTTTTCTCAGTCGGCACTGTTAGTTAGAGCACAGCAAAACTAGGTTCTGTTCTTTATTGATAGTAATCATTCTGTAAATAATAATTTGTATATTGTGTTCAGATGAAAGTATTCCAGAGACAGTGACTGGCGGTCACAAAGCCTGCTGTTCTGTCTCCTGACGTTTTCTTACAACTCTATTTTCTGCTTTCCTTTCCTGCTGTTACCTTAGCTCCCTGTGACTGGAATACCAAGCACTTGGAGTTCTTTCCTGCTTTTCTTACCAACTCCAGTGTGCCAAATGGAACCCTTTCCCATCTGCAGTAAGAAAGAGCTTTTTTCAACCTAGATATACAAACATTAAACCGTTAATACCTTCTTTTCATGTTTTGTTTTTTCTATTTCATCGCCTTGCCGCCAAAATGTTTAGAAAGCAATAGAATAACAACAATAGAATAGAATAACAACAGAGAAAATCTGGCACGACAAAGGTTGGAAGGTTTGAGTCACTCTGTCGTGTAACATGTAGATCAGTCCTTGTGTGCCCTGCAGTATTCTTTTTTCTAATATGTCAGAAATCCATTCTAGACTTAACTTATTCCAGCTGGAATTCATTTTTGTGTTGGAGTTACTTTAGAGAGCAGATTTTCACTGTAAACTGAGGCACCAGTGTGAGAGAAGGGACACACTAGGAGGGAAGACATTTCTAGTTCATCACGTAGTACTTTCTTAACAGGATAATTAACAGCCAGTGGCACTACCATCTTTTTACTGATTACTGTCCCTTCCGTGAAACTTAAAATACCGAATTTTTCTACATGGCATATATTTTGTAGGTTTCCTGTGCTCACTTTTTAACTAAAAAAGCTCTAAGTCTGTTGACCTGCCTTTTGTTTCCGTAAATGTATAGTAAATCTGTGTTGTTTGTATAAATATGGCTGGACTTTTATTATAAAAATGCATCATAGGAAGTAGAGGCTCATGTGTGGCCTTTAAGAACTGTATAAAGGCAAAGGGATATTTGCCTTTAGTTTACTGGTTACAAGTTTGTTTACAGAATTTTTCTTTGGTGCTTAAACGATGCTATGTAAAATACCATGGGTAGAAAGAATAATTTTGTGGTAGTAACACCAACTTTTCATGTAAGAAAGGTATTTGAGAAAACACATTAAAACACTTGCCTTCCCCCCAGTTAAAAATGTTATGATAAAGTCATACATCCTCAGTTTTACTCTTGGTCTTGTTAAAGATTTATCTAAACATAAAAGATGGATTATTTCCTAGAAGCATATGCCATTTATATCTGTAATTTAAGTCATCTCTCTTAATCATGATTTTAGACATCCTTGGATGATAAAATTGAAAAATTTAGATAAACAGGAAAACAAATTTAAACCAAAGCTGTGCATCTTTTTGGTTCTGGCTAGTGTCTGTTTAAGGTCTCAGATGTTAGAGCATTAGTTACGAATGCTGATGATGCAAGCCTGTGATTATGATGATAAGTGCAGCAGTCCTAACCCAAAACGTCTACAATAAAGCTCTTAAACTTCATTTGTTTCCATTTAGGAAGGGATTAATAACATCACCACTATTTATGTATTGAGACAGCCTTCTGCTCAGCTTTAAAAGCAGAAGAGCCTTTATAGTTATAGTTAGATTATGATTCCTTTGGCAAGGGTTTTAAGAGGTAACAAAATTTTCATATGTCTAAACGATACAAAAGTCAAGTTAACCTAACTGAGTCAGAGTTACTACTGTGTGACTCTCCATCAGTGTGTAGACACTCGTTTCTTCAGCAGGTAGGAGGCTCAGCTAGTGTAGGAGAACATTTTCTGTGATGTCTTATGACCCAGGTTTAGTTTAGGCTGTTTTGTTGTGTTTTAAAACGGTCTCATGGAACCTAGGCTGGCCTAGAACTCAACGAGTAGAAATACATAGGAATACCTTAAACCGATCTTTCTGCCTCCACCTCCCAAGTGCTGGGGTGCTGGTGTGTACCCCACACTGGGAGGTTTGTTCTTTTTCAGTAAGGACAGACACTGCTGGGGGTTTCCAAACTAATACTAGATTTTAATTAATATTAATTTTAGATTTTGTATTGAGCTCTGTTTACTGTTCAAGATGATGTTTAAAAAGTAAGGATTGGTATGTTCTTCATGTTAGTGTGACAGAGTCCTTAAAAGCTCGGTGATCTTCCTCATCGCCTAACTGAGCCAAAGGAAAGACTCAATACCATCTTTCCACATCTGTTAGGGCTACAAAGCTTTCTGAGACTAGAAGCCAACTGAATTTGTTTTTGTCTTATTGTGCTTAAGGTTGTAACAGGACAAACAGAATTTTAAGTTAAACATGTGGCTTTCTTTGTTTATAATGTAAAGTTGTTTATGTCCTACAAAAGTAACTTTTTTGTAGAATGAACTACTTACAGTTTGCTTTTCAGATTCTTAAGGCAGAAGGTTTCCCTTTAAATGTCTGTCTGAATTTTAGTCTTAACTTTTTACTTCTACAAAAGAAATGACTTAAAGGGTACATACAGCTGCATATAGTGGGTTTTTATCCTAATTAATTTTATTGTAAATAAATGATAAATTTTGTTTTGCCTTAATTTTTTATAGTTTGAATCTTTGATATTTCAGAGATTGCAATTTTGATGGAGTATTTTGTAACTCTTGTGCTAATAAACTCTGAACAAAAGATACAAAGCAATGAATAGAAGGCTCTGGAGAGCAGCGCAAATTAGTCAGAAGTGACAAAAATCCCTGTCTGAAGAGCTCTCTTATGTGTCAGTCTCCAGCTTGTGCAGTTCATTTGAAAATAAAATTCAGGCAGAATGCAACTGACTTGTTCAGATGAAGAGGGACTTCAGGCTTCTGAAGCAGCTTGGCAATGAGAAAGGAAATCTTGGAAAGGCATGGGATAAATTAGCCCCCACATCATCTGCAGATTCTGATTCCTTGGTACTTCCCACAGTTTTACTTGTCTAGCAGGATATTCAGAGGAACCCAGCGGGTAGCAAAGTCCAAAGAATCAAATTGAGCCTGTTCCCATCATCCCAGCCCTTGGGGGCTGAAAGAGAGGGAGGATGACTGCCAATCCTAGGCCAACTTGGCTACATAGTCATTTCAGTCCAGCCTGAGTTTCCTAGACCCTGTCTCAAAAAACAGACACTAAGCCTGCTGTGAAGTTGTCTTATCCTTGTACCCAAGGCCGAAGTGGGCAGACTCGAGTTCTGAGGCCAGCCTGTTCTACAAAGAGTTCAGGCCATCCAGGGAGGGCCACCCAGGAGACCTGTCTCGACAACCACAACTAACAACCCAAAGACAGCAAAGAGGACACAAGAACACTGCTGGTGGGGTGGGATGGGGTAAGAGTTTTGAAACTGAAAACTGAAGCATGGCGGTGGTGGTGCACGCCTTTAGTCCCAGCACTCTGGAGACAGAGAGTCTGAGGCCACAAAGCAAATTCTAGGACAGGCTCCAAAAGCTACAGAGAGAAACCCTGTCTCATAATAATAATAATAATAACTACAATTACAGATGCCAACCAAGAACTATTTTGAAAGCAAGACCTTTTTAGGATAACAGTCTGGGGCCTAATGGTTTATCTCAAGCTGGAATTCAAATCATTGTTTCTGTGGTAACCCAGAGTTGGATGTCACACCAAGTGGCTTGAGGTCACCTAAAATGGGCCGTTTAGTATGGACAATCAGTCAAGAATTGGGAAGTTAGTCCCTTCCTAATGGAGTGGATAGGAGTGCTCAAAACTGAAATACAACTGTGGGAGGGAGTTTATTTTTTCAATAATTGGATTTCAGAAACCTAAGGGGACTTAGCAGGTCCTAGGACTTGCTTGGGTTGGAGTTTCATTGCATTTTTCTTCCATCTGTTTGCTGTGGCACAAACACTTGAACATTTTCAATGGGTTCTGTTGGTATTTTTCCTGTAATCCCAAACATTTAGGAGTAAGAGGTGGAAGGATCAAGGCCATCATCAACTCTATAGTGACTTCAGACCAGCCTGGGCTAAGACATGTTTTCATTAAAAATGGGTCCTAACTCAATAGTTTCCCACAGTTCTTTGACTTTACAGTTGTGTGAATTCACATTCTGGTGAAGTCATGATCCAGATTTTAACATAGTATTTGCTATCACATTCCAGATCTCAAAATACATCTTTTCAATGACATATTTGCTTTAATTTATTCTGCCTGGAAAAAATGTTTTTCCAAGAATACTTATCATTCAAATGTTAATCTCACCTCCCTGAAGAAGCTTTTTTGAGGGGCTGGAGAGATGGCTCAGTGGTTAAAGGTACTTCCTGCCCAATCATGAGGACTGAGTTGGAAACCACGCCCACATTTGGCGATTCACAAAAGCCTTTTAACTTCAGCTCCAAGGCTTCTAATGCCTTCTTCTGGCCTTTGCAGACACCTGAACACACAAAATACTTTAAAATGCTTTTCTGACCACTATGAGTTAACCATCCAGTCTATTTAATAACAACCCCCCCCCTTTTATTTAAAGATAGGGTATCGGGGTTGAGGATTTAGCTCAGTGGTAGAGCGCTTCGCAAAGCCCTGGGTTCGCTCCTTAGGTCCAGGAAAAAAAAAAAAAAAAAAAAGATAGGGTATCACTGTGAAGCTCTAACAGAACTCTGCTTGCCTCTGCCTCCAACTGTTAGGGCTAAAGGCATGAGCACTTAGCACATTACCCTACTTTTGATATACTACTCACTGAATAGCTTTAATTTTTTTTTCTTTCTGCATCTGTCTCTTAAATTGCCCTCTACAATTTCCCTAAGACCAATGCCTAACAGATAAGGTCTCCAAATACAGTCTTTATATACTACTGTCTTTTCTATACCATTACTGTAAAGAAACTAGAAATTTAAAACTGTGTTAGGGAAGGAGCCAGAGTATATTAAGCTCAAAACCAGGCTTTCTGAGTTCCACGCCAGCGTGTGAAATAGCTATGACTTGAGCCATGCTTCAGATTTTTTTTTTTGAGGGGGGTGGTTCAAGACAGGGTTTCTCTGTGTAGCTTTGGAGCCTGTCCTGGAAATGTTTCGAATTTTTAAAATATTTATTCTTGCACATGTTCCTAGTATATAGTGAATTTTAATCCTTTTTACCCTTTACCTTGTGTCCTCCCCTCCTCCCACCGACACTGTTCTTAACAATGCCTCTCTACTTTCATGTCTTTTGTTATTTTTGGTAGTGAAGTGTGACTTGAATTCAGTCTCCTGCCACAGCCTCCCAAGGATGGCACCACATTGAGTGTGTAACATTTTTGTTGTGTTGTGTTGCTGGGATGGAACCCAGGTACAGCCCCTTACTTTCTCCTTGAATTTGAGATGACCTCACTAAATTGGGGAGACCTAC